GTTGGGGATGGGGCTCCCGTCCCAGAGCAGTGACCGCTCCATCTGCCTGTCCCTTGCAGCGGCTGCCCCACAAAGTCCGGAAGCTGTACTCGGCCCTGGAGAGGCTGTTGGTGAGTGCTGGGCCTTGGCTCCTCCTTCCAGAAACCCTGATTCTGGGCTTCCCAGCAGCCCTTCTACATGTCTTTGGTCACCTCCAGGGTTTCCAGCCCTGGGTCAGAGCCTGACTCTCTCTGGGCTGAGAGTCTGGGCTGCTGGCCGAAGGACGGAGTGTGAGCATTATGAGGGAGCTGCGCAGTGCATTATATCCCTCAGTGCGGGGAGCATTGGCCGTGGCTATGACGTCCTGTATGAAGACCAGGACAGGGCCCACGTGGGGTCTGGCCTTGGGCTCTGATGCACCAGGGGAACATCAGGGGATCTCCGGTCTCCAGCCGACCTGCCTCAGGACCCTGGAAGCAAGTCCTGGCCCCAGACCCCACGGTGCACCGGGGCCTGTCAGTGGCCCCTCAGGGGATGCGGGGAACCTGTGGGCTAAATTAGGCCAAATGATGAGGGACAAGTAGGGGAGCCGACTGCCTCTCCCCCTCCTCCTCCCTGCTAGGAATTGTTGGGGGGCTAAGAGGTTTGGAGAGTGTTCAACAGAGAACTGGCACAAAGGTGCTTTTGTCAGCCTGGCTCCGAGCTCTTGGGAACAAAATTCCCTTTGCAGGCTCAAGAGGTTCAAAGGAATTTACTCGCTAGAGAGGGACAGGGGCAGAAACGAGAGAGAGAGAGAGAGAGAGAGAGAGTTTTGAAACCTGGAGGGCCCCTGAGAGACTAATGGCCGTGAAGTTTGCTTGGGGGGGCTAACCAGAGGCCAGGAAGCCGCTGGCTGGCTGAGTGCTTCAGGTCTCCTCCCACCTCTGCAGAGCCCGCTGTGGTGAGACCTGGGGCCCAGGGGAAGCGGAGCTCTGAGAGGATGGTGTTTGCTTGTGTCGCGGTGCGTGGTGGGTCATGCTGAGCGGGGCCCTCCCTCGCTCACTGTGGCTTCTTCCCTCTCAGGACCCCTCATGGAACCACCGAGTCTATCGACTGGCCCTCACCAAGCTCTCCCCTCCCATCATCCCCTTCATGCCCCTTCTTCTCAAAGGTAATAGGACCAGAGCTTACCCTTCTGCCTCCGCCCTTCCAGTCCTGTGCCCGTCTGTATGTCTGTCTGACCCTCGGGGTGCTGACACGTTGCGGGCACAAAGATGAGTGAGGAGTTCCCAGGCTAGAAGCAGTGTTGAGACATGCAGGCAAGTGCTGGTGACATCAGATGGTGTCTGATACGAGAGGCCTAAGGGATACAAGGAAATTGCTCCAGGAGGTCAGAGGGGAACTGGAGGAAGAGGGCAGTGTGGGGCTGGGACAGACCCAAGGCTCTCATTATTGGCCCTTCGCCTTTCCTGGGCTGCAGGAAGGGGAAGAGCTTTGGGGACCTTTAAGCAAAACCCATCTCTTGACAGACATGACCTTCATCCATGAGGGAAACCACACATTGGTAGAGAATCTCATCAACTTTGAGAAGATGGTGAGTTCAAGGACAGTTGAGAGTCTGCCCCTAGAGTGGGCTGGAGGATATAACTGTGGCCGTGGAAGGAGGTGGGGGGTGGGGCAGGAGATAGTCTAAAGGTATTATTAATAATACAGCTATGGGGGTGCCTGGGTGGCTCAGTCGGTTAAGCGTCCGACTCTTGATTTCGGCTCGGGGCGTGATCTTGCGGGTCGTGAATTTGTGCCCCACGTTGGGCTCTTCGCCGACCCTGCAGAGCCTGCTCGGGAGTCTCTCCCTCTCTCTCTGTCCCTCCCTGGCTTGTGTGCTCTCTGTCTCTCTCCAGATAAGTAAATAAACTTCAAAAAATAATACAAATACGAATACTTCTTTTAAATAGCCCCTGCTTCACTCCCTTGCATAGTGGAGAGGACAGCCTTTATCACCTCACCCTGCAACCAAGGCCCTCCAGGCCTCTTCCGCTCTAAGCCCTTCCTGATCTCTGTTCTTTCTCGCACTGCCTGCTTCCCGCGGGGCCATTGGGTAGGCCGGGGCAAAGCAGACATGGCCCCATCTAGTCCCCGGGAGCGCCCCGCTCAAAGGGGGCTTGGTTACTAGCTGACCCACGGGCCACGCCAGGGTCCTTCCCCTCAGGCCTGGTCTTCTGTCCTCACAGAGAATGATGGCCAGAGCCGTGAGGATGCTGCATCACTGCCGAAGCCACAGCAATGGTGAGAGGGCTGATAACCCTGCTAGGAGCCCCCGCCCCACCTCGTCCCCTTCCAGGCTCTGGCTCGGCCCAGTCTCCCTGACTACCCCCCCCTCACCCCACGCAGTGCCCCTCTCACCGCTCAGAAGCCGCGTCTCCCACCTCCACGAGGACAGCCAGGCAGCCAGGACATCCACGTGTAAGTGGGGCAGGGCTGGGTGCTGACGGGTCAGCCACGGCTGGCGTTTACAGGCACTTGCACGTATGATGCCCTGAGCTCTCCCCCACACCTCTGTGATGTAGGTAGAATGTTATCCCAGCTTACAGATGCACAAACAGGCCAGAGCACTGAAGTGACTTGGGCAAGGCCCCACAGTTAGTGACTCCAGGCCTGATTTTTTGGTTGGTCTTCAGCTGCGTGAAGTGGGAGTAAATCATAAGCCACAGTTCATGTAACACTGTCATCATCGGCCCTTTATTTTATTTTATGTATGTATATATTGTGATAATATGATGAACACCGCTGGGCCCCAGCCAAGTGTGAGCACATTGACAAGAGCTTCCCCTCCCTACAGACCGTTTCCTCTTCCTGTGCCGCTAGAATATATTTATTTAGATGTATTTAGAAATATATAGACATATATACACACACGTGTACGTGTACATATCTCTTTAACGTGCTTCGTATATATGTTATGAGCACAAAATATTCTTTAGTTTCAGTTGTTTTTGAATTTAGTAGAAGGAGTAGTATGCGGTATGGAATCTTGGGGACCTGTTTTTTTCTGAGTCTGAGCTCTTAACCACCCTTCTGCTCCAGACGGG